TTATGATCGACTGTATCAATTGTAGCACTGAGATCTAACAAGACAAGTACAGATACAAGTCTATTATCTGAGGCCATGTTTTGAATGTTCTCATCCATCCAGTTCAGCATCGTACTCTGAGTAGCAACCTGTCAAAGGTGCGTAGTCTGAAGATGGATAACAAGGCATGGACTGAACCACTAATACAGGTGAGGGACAAACAAAAGCCAGTCTTCTTCTGCAGTAGCAACATGATTACCGTCTTTCTTTTCTTCTTTAACACCATCTACCAGGAAAAGATCTGCTAGTGGAGTTTCTGCTAGTGGAGTTTTAAACCCTGTCCAAATATTTGAAGAAACCAGACAATTAAAATTAAGATCTTATGAATCTCATGATTGCAACAGAATGTTTCTTCCAGTACTGTCTGCCGTTTTCTGTTTGTATCATCTGTTGCCTTGAATATCAACTGTCTTCTGGTGCATAATTGCCAAACATTGCTGTATCTGAATCTCCAACTTTATGTCGAAGATCTTGTTAAATGGGAGTATGGTGGTAAACACTTCCACTGCCGGGGAAAACGCAGCAGTCGACTGGTGAAGCAGAGCTCATCTTCCTGGATTGAATCTTGAGCTGTGCCTGGCCATTATATTTGGATTGTGTGTCTCTGAGCTATCACCTGTTGTCAGAATGGAAGAAGTCTCCCTGCCCCACGACCCCGGCTCCCCTCATCCTCGCTGGCACATGGTGAATCAACACAACCTGCAGCCTATGCGGGGAGTTCTGCTGAACCGCAGACCAGCCACCCACACCAGATTTGGCCTGATGAATCCTAGAAACATGACCTTCATTCTAGGGGATTTTTTTTTTCTCACCCTGATGATTGGAATTTCTCTGTGTAACTGAGATTTGGCTGGATGTTAGTGGGGTAAGTAGGCTCAGTTTCCCTGAACTTTTACCGGACATCTGGCTAAGGAGAAGGAGGAATAGCCATGGTCAATATAAGCCCCATTTACACCACCCTCTGAAAACTAATCCGTGCTGAGTTCGGAACAAGTTTGGATCAGTTAAACGAGATTGGTTCCTTATGACGGTTTACACATCACAGTCCTAGTGAAATTCTAGGGAGCTACTGCTTTCTAAAGGGAAACAAGCAAATCAACATGGCGGTGCCCATAACATTCAGGAAGTTTGGCTACAATTGTGATATTTCATTGATTGTGGAGAGTCAGGCTAAGAAGACAGCCTTTGAAGAATTTACTTGACAAAGTCGGCTTTTGGGAAGTGGATACGAAAAACGATAGTCTAATCAGGGCTTACTGACACAAGAAACAACAACACACATTGAGGTCATCACACTGCTAAGCAGCATCATCCCTGGAGATCTTGCGGCATGGTAGGGAAGCTAGTATTTTCATGAATATCTGAAATTTCATGATTACTGAGGCTGACTGTAAGGAGATGCCTTGGTCTGCTCATGTGTTGTTTGTTATCTGAGAACCGAGCCAGAACTGAACCACACCCTAATGATGAACTAGTACTAGTTTAGCGCGGTTCGGTTGTGTCTGGCACGGTCCGGTTCAGTTTTGCGTGCCATTTACACTCAAGAGTTATCTCGGGTGCTGAGGTGGTAGTTCGCCCAGGTTGCCAATTGGGCTTTCACCGCCACTGATTAATTTCCTGCTGGCAACATTATCAGACGACTGTAAAGAATGCTAAAGGGAACATCTGTCTAATATAATTCTGTCACATACCGCATGTTTTGTTTTAAAAAAATGGGATCATATTGCTTTGACTGTGTGATTTTCACATTTACCCATGATTGAGCTGGTTTGTCTTTTATCTGTGATATTTTATTTATTTTTCTGTACAGCATTTTGGGCAGCTGTGGTTGTTTTGTACAAATGCAGTTTTAAACACAAAGAGTGATTTTGAACTGTGAGGGTCAAGACCTCTTCTCTGGCTTCTATGACCAGATCAGACTTTGGAAATCAAGCAGACCTAAATAATTGTGTCCAACTTCAGGCCTCGAGATCTATGACCGAGCAGCTTTTAGGTATGTTCCACTAATCTCTATTCATTGGATTGTTGCTGATTGCTCGTTTGAAGTATGGTGTTTAAATGGAGCCCCCGGCCGCCATATTGGTACTCCCTAGTTAGACCGGTCGTAATGTAAACAATATGTGCGCTACAGCATCGAAAAAAGATGATGTTCTCATTTTCAGAGGGACTTAAGACTTTTGGAATAAAGATGAATTCATCAATTTGACACACACTTCCTGTTTCATAGCATCGGTAGATTACTTTAACTTCTGATACAAAAAATAGACACATCATATTGCATTAGTCTGCATCATTATGAAGTCAATTAAGTATCTAAATGATGTAATATAACATAATATAAAAATCCAACATAATAAAATAAATTTGTTAATGAAGCACAATAATACAGATGTGCCAAAAGTGCTAAATTGATGATGTACATGTAATATACATGTATTTATTATGTCTGTTAATGCTGTAGTATTTTTATTTGCAAATTGTGCATGCATGATATATATGCGTGGGGGTGAAATGTTTGAGTGGTTTTTCCCCTCAAACTAATATGCAGTATATTTCAGCACATAACTTTTTTAATTGAGAAATACAACAAACACTACAAAAATGACAGCAGCATCCACTTAATAAGGAATTAATACATTTACATTAACAGTTAATTTACTTTCTATTTACTGTACCTTCTATTTTCTAACATTAGACACAATGTCAATGGCTAAATCAGTCAATCTCTTCGAGTCAGTCCGAAATAGCCAGATTAATGTTACGCTACATACTATACTATACTACAGGATACATCAGCGTTTATATGGATTTTCTTGGTTAGCACATTACCTTTTTTGCGAAACGACTACCTACAGCCGGTAAAATGCTTTTTTACTACATATCTCCATGGGAGTGGGGAGTACAAGCATGGAAGACAGTGACTTCACTTTTTTTCTGGCAATCAGCAATTCAGTGAATAAATAGAGATAAGTGGTATGTCCCTGCTCCAACACAGCTGGTTGGAATGGCTTGATTATCCCATCAGGTTTGGTAGAGGCCTTGTACTGATTCAGGTTTGTTGGAGCAGAGATGATCCTAAACGTGGTAGGGTGGTAGTTCTCAAAGGCTGGAGTTGGAGACCACTGGTTAAGAGCTGTCATCACCTTTACTCAGAACCATCTTTTCATGGAGCAATCAGCTCTCCTGAGGTTCATGTCATTAATCACTGGAAAGATTCCTCTTTGGTTCTCCTGCCTCAGAACTGAGCCCTTTGGGAGGTAGCTGAACAGCAGAGCGGTCCTAATACTCTACTCCTCACCCTTTCAGCTATTCGTTGCCTATGGCAACCGGCTAGCCAATCAGGTGTGGGCTCCAGCTGTGCCAGCAGCAGAACAGTTGCATCCAGAGTCAACAGAGAAAGAGAGGTCAACTTTCATTCAGAACAAGTACAACAGGGGGCGCTACAGACGAGTCCATGCTCTGACATCCAGCCACTACATGATGAACCAGGTGAGGCGGAGAACCTTTGGAGCTCCAGAGGTTACTAACGAGCAGTTATACCCTGGTTGATGAAGGCAGTAATGATGATGATGATGTTTCAGAGGCTGTGTCAGGTGGTGGTCACGGAAGACGTGGAGGAAACAATGTCTCTAATCTGCTCAGGAGCAAAGGTTTCTCTCTCTCTCTGAACTATGCTCATCAGACCCCCTCTCCCACCCAGTCCAGTCCTCACAGAATCATCTGACCTGTTTGCAGGTTTCCTCGTCAGACCCACAGAGACACTCCCCCATCCTTCTGGCTGAGAAAGCCAATCAGGCTCTGCAGATTGAGCTGCTGCGCCTCAACGAGTATACAGGTAACCCATCTCCTGAAGGTACAATCTCATTCTGGTCAAACAGGGGAACAGGTTCTCAATAGATCTAACATACATGTGTTCCTCCTTAGAGGTCCCGCCTCACCAGCCTCAGTCGGCCAATAAAAAGCTGGAGTCCAGCCCTTCAGGTGAGCATCTGACTTTGATTCCTTGTGCAAAACGAGTTGAAAGAAATTTGAGGCAAACCTCCATCTAAAGAAAGTGAGCCTTGGCAAAGACCAAGAGGAGCCTTCTGTCAAGAAACGAGACAGATGGACCCAGTATTCAAGGAGAGACAGTCAGTTGGAAAGTTCAAACGTTTATTAAATAAAACAAAACAAGCAGTCCCAGAGGTGATGCTGGAAGCCGATCCTGGTGAGGGATCCAGAACAGACAGGAACAGAAACAGGTGGCAGGATCCAGACTTCCAGGCATCCACAGGCTTCCAGGAGGGTTCAGAGTCTGACTGGGACCAGAAGCATGACCAGGTGGTCACGCACAGGAGCAAGCAGGATCAGGTACAGACAGGCAGGCACAGTGGAAGAGGGTAGCCGAGACAGGACGTAGGAACCGGAACTTGAAGCAGGACTTTGACCTGGTCTCCTCCCTGGAGCCAGGCTTACTGGATAAAAACTGAACCTCCCCCCATATTGAGCCAAAAACCCAGAGGACTCTGCGGGGGAGGAACAGTGGACGATCAGGCGACGAGACAAACAAAAAAACCCTCTTTCCACTGGCTGCTAGGATCCAGGACTTGAACCATGAAATAAAAGTTACAGACAGGCTAACAGAAAGACACGTAATGATCTGGCACTGAATGCTCAGGCTGAACTGAATATAAACCAGAGGAAACAGGTGAGGGGAATAAATTATAATTGGGGCAGGGAGGGAAAAACGACATGTGAAAGGAATGACTAATTAAGGGAGAGCAAACAGGCCAGATCATGACACCTTCTAGTGTTTAGCTGGACAGGCTGACCAAACATGAGCTCCACCATGTTTGGTCAGTGGAAATGGGTCAGGAGGTCAGGGCTGTTTATGGGGCATTTATCAAAGGTTCGGGTTCTGGAATAATGAGGAGGGAGCTGGCTGACCCAAAACAGTTCATGAAAGATTTCCATGAAACATAAAGTTCAAAAAGGAAGGTAGACAGTAACTTCTGAACAAAACCAGAAATTATCTCTGGTCTCCCCCCAGTTTTAGAAATGGGTTCCTCTTTATTCTAAATATTGACCAGCCGTTTAGTCAGTTCATCCATCACAGCATGAACATGAAGATTATTTCAGTCACTCGTGGTGGAAACCCACAGACATTGTAGCTGAAGGACGTCCTTTTCTTTTCATCAAGCAAACCTTTGAAAGTTTAACATTCATGCTGGGCCTCCGCTTGGCGTCAGCTGAAAGCTCTACGTGTTTGTCTTCCTCTGTTAGGGATAGTCTCTAGACTGTCACTTATGTTCATGATGTGTGTGTTACTGTGTTACTGTTGCAGATGAGGAGGATGAGGAGCTTCACGGTAAACTGGAGGAAGATCGTTTTTTCTTCTCAGTAGAAAACGATTCTGCAGTCTGTGACGTCCTCGACCTGCGAGAAGTTCTGTCTGTTTTCCTCAAAGACGGGTAAATCTAAACTCTTCTGAATTCATTGGGCTCAGTTAGATTACAAAACAGTCGGCAGATTTAATTGAACAACAAGAACAACAGAGGGATGAGTTGTTTGACCAACTGAATCATCATAAACAAATGTACCATCAGCTAAGTTCTTCAGCCAAATGGACACATTAAGAAGAAAACTAAATTTGTTTAAACCCTGCAACAGAATAGAGCTCAGATAAGCAACAGCGCATCACATTGTCGACCAAGCCCCTCATGGCTAACTGAATGTTTTTGCTACAAAATGCACTGGAGCATCAGTGTGTTACTTTTTAACCTAACCCACTGCTGCCATGCATTTCAGGAAGTAGGTACTTGCTGATGTTGGTGTCCAAAAAAGGAGAGATTTGCAAAAGGCAATGAGGGATAAACCGAGATTTATTCAACATGAAGAATTGAATATGCTGAGCAAACTGTGCAAACTTAAGGCCACCAATTACACTTAATGATCAGCAGATGACACAGACTAGAAAGGTTTTTTATAAATAACTCCTGGACTTCAAATCAAACTAGAAACAGAAGTCTGAACATCGTTTACCTCAGCCTAAAAATCTGAGCCACATGTTTAACAGAGTTCAGGCTGATGAAGAACAGGAAGCAGAATTTGGATTCAGTGATGCTGCATCAACAAGAAATTGGTTCCTAATCTCTAAAGACAAAATAGACACTGAAATCCATTATAAGAGCCCTCTGGTGGACGCTAACATTCACTGCAGGCTGACACAGCTTTGTCAGATATTACCAGTGATAAATAAACAATGCATTAGATTTTTCAGTTTCAGCCTTTTGAATTTTCCTTTTTTACCCAAACTCAAAATATTGACCTTCACTAGGTGGCGAAAGACCAGGAAATAGTTAGAGGACTTTAAACAAATAACGCTGAAAAGTTCCCTCAGCTCAACTCTGCTGGAGGTTTCATTCAATCCTCTAATAAGAGACTCTGTGTTTTTTAGGCCGGATCATCAGTTTGAGTTGGTGACATTAAATGATCATATAATCTGTGATGCTGACGACAGAGAGTCGCTCCAGAATCATCTGGTTCATATTCTGAAGGTACAGCAATTCATCAGTTGGTTGAATGATATAATCTCAGAACAGCCTTACAGTTATCCATCATGGCCTCCTTTTAATAACACCCCTGCGTTTTAGGTCATTCTACCAGGAGGTGTCTCATATGCTGAGGTGGGTGGGGCCTCCGCTGTCAGCAAAGTGTGCATAGCTGACATAGGAGGAACTTCCAATCAATCTGATGCCTGGTTGTTACTGTGGGAGGATGGGGTCAGCATCCACCCTGTAAAGAGAGATACACAAAAGGCCCTAAGCTTTGAACTGAGCATGCTCAATCACAAAGGTAAGCTTTGCTTTGTTGTATGTTGATTTAAAGCCAAGCAAACATAAATCTAAAGTCTGTTATTTGCCGCTATCACCCTGGTATCTCTCTTGGAATGAGAGATATCCTGACTGTCTTTTAATCTTGTCTCTCTGGTTTGACCCTTTCTTTTTGTGTTTAAGCCTGCATATCTCTGTTCAGCCCTGTCTTTAAGCCTGTCTCTCTGTTTAACCCTGTATTTCTATGTTTAAGCCTGTCTAACTGTGCTTAACCCTCTCTTTTTATTTAACAATGTTTCTCTGTATTAACCCTGCCTCCCTGTATTTAATCATGTTTCTGTGCAATAAACCCTTTCTCCCAGTGCTTAAGCCAGACTCTCTGTTTTAACTCTATCTTTATTAATTTAACCCTGTTACCCCTTTCTCGTTGTGTTTAAGTCTGTTCATCCCTTTTAACCCTGTTTAACTGTGTTTAACCCTGTTTAACAGTGTTTAACCCTGTCCCTCTCTGTTTAAATCTAACTGTGTTTAACCCTTTCTCTGTGCTTAAATCTGTCTAACTGTTTAACATTATCCCTCTGTGATTAGCCATTTGTTTGTTTTAACCCTTTCTCTCTGTTTAAGCCTCTCTTTTAACCCTGTCTTTAAGCGTGTCACTCTGTGTTTAACCCTGTCTTTCTATGTGTAAGCCTGTCTAAAACCTAAAACCGAGCCATTTCTGTGTTTAACCCTGTCTCCCTATATTTGAAACTTTCTCTGTTTAACCCTTTCTCTCTGTTTAAGCCTCTCTTTTAACCCTGTCTTTAAGTGTGTCACACTGTGTTTAACCCTGTCTTTCTATGTGTAAGCCTGTCTAAAACCTAAAACCGAGCCATTTTTGTGTTTAACCCTGTCTCCCTATATTTTAAACTTTCTCTGTTTAATCCTTTCTCTCAGTGCTTAAGTCTGTCTCTCTTTTTTTAACCGTTTCTCTGTTTAACCCTTTCCCTCTGTGTTTAACCCTGTCTTTAAGCCTGTCTAACTGTTTAAGCCTCTCTAACTTTGTTTAATCATGTCCTTCTGTGTTTAATCCTGTCCCCCCATGTTTAACTGTCTCTCTGTATTTAACCCTGTCCTACTGTGTTTAATCCGGTCTCTCTGTTTAACCCTGTTTAACTTCTTGTAATCCTGTCTCTATATTAAACTCAGTTTTCTTGTTTTCCCATGTCTTGCTGTGTTAAAAGCTGTTTCTCTGTTTTAAGATATTGCTAAGTCCAAACTGATGGCAACATGGAGCGGGGACCCCCCTAATTATATATATTGTATAAAATTGTGTTATATCAAACTGGTCCTATAGCCACGGAGTCGTGTATGGATTATAGATACATGTAACGATTGTATTTCCGCCCTGGGATTATTAAAGTATGTCTGATTTTGATTCCTCGTTGAGGGGACAGGTGTTGTGAATGAAACGGTGCCCAGCTTGAAGGAGCTCCTGTGTGTCGCTGAATGTGTGCATTGATGACTGAAAAACATCTTCTGCCTCCATTTATTTGTTTACATCAGTGTGTTGAATTCATGTTAATGTGTATTTAAACACATTTCAATTAATGGAAAAAATTGCAGGAGGGAATATAAAAAAAAGTCTAATCAACCATAATGTTCATGACCCCTATGCAGTACTTCAGTGGACCCCCTAGGTGTCGCGGACCCCCTGTTGAAGACCTCAGCTGTAGAGTTATACTAATAATCCCCTTTTAATCAGGTGTGTTAAACAGAGATGCCTCTAAAAGTAAGATGAAACTGAAAGAACCCCCCACATTCAAAATGTTATAGGAACATATAAAATCAGATCATTCTTGTGTCTGTGAGTATTTTAACTGGTTCAGACTCATCTGAGAATCTACAGAAACCTTCCAGCAACTTCACTAAATATTTTCTTTAAGTTATCTATATTGTATCAGTTTGATCTCATCTGCTGCTAGATCTCAAAAACATGGTAAATAACTGTTGTTCTAGGAACTGGAAGTAGCATAATTCTCTTATCTGCATACCAATCCATGAACTATGTGCTGCTCAAACTTCTCTTGTTACATGGAGAATGTTACTCTGCTAAATCTGCAAATAACAGCAGACATTTAATCTTCCACAGAAAAATAAACCTTTTTGGACTTAATGAGTCACTGTAGCAGAACCTGCAGGAATAGAGGTGTGATCTAATTTAGGGGCTGTATCCACCAAAGGACCCAATCTATGCAGACCAGGTCCTGTGAAAACCACTAAACCCCAAAGAGTTCACTGAGTCCTTTCTGTCCAACAGGAGCATCAATGTTAGACTCAGGGTTACTAATTATAGCTCACCTGTAAAAAGAACAATGGGAAAGCAAACAGCCCTAGGTCTGCTTTGGTCTGGACTAAATGATTTGACCAAAGGACTTTCCGGGTGTGTCCACTCCACACTGACAGCTCATTGAAGTTTAGTTGGCCTGAAGATCAAACATCTCACTTCTCATCATGTTTTCAGAGTAGAAAGAAGAAACAGTATTTAGATCAATAGTAGAAAGTCTGTTTCCTTTAATGAACATATTTCATCTCCTCTTTTAGGAACAGTTATACAGGATGACACCATCACCTTGGTAACGCAAGATAAGTGAGTATCTCGAACTAACTCCAGCTCTAAATTATTCCTACCCCCAGCAGATTGAAGTTTAAACTGAGGCTTTGGTTCCTGATGAGCCAAAGGAGGAGCAGTCTTCAGAATTTATTCACCTTCAATAATCAGTATTCAAAATCTGGACACTGTTTTTAGTCCATCTCAACATTCAGAGGTTAAACCAACAAACCTTCTTCAGCGGAGCAGGTTCCTTTGCGATTCTGATGGGTTAGATCTGGTGATGAGCTCCAGGTATCATTAGCTCCCCCGCACAGACTCTCCATCAGACTCGGGTCTGGATCTGGACTATTCCAGAACACCACTCTCTGTGGATGTCTTCTGTCAGTGATCAGTGAAGTCAGGGGTTAGTTCTTTAACAGGACTAGAGACATTTGTTTTCACTCTGAGGTTGAGTTTAGCTCATTTAGGCGCTAAACAGTTGATGGTATTTCTGATTGAATCCTCAGCAGGGAAAGCTTTTCTTTCATGTGTTCTGATTGTCTGAGCCCTCAACAGGTGATCAACAGGTAAAGCTCTTCTCTCTCTTCAGGTCCATATCCTTACGTTTTAAGGAGCAACATAGCTGTGAAACCTGGAACCAACACCTGCAGAAAGCTCTGGCCAATCAGGATTCAGCTCCTGAGAAACCAGGGAGAGCCAATCAGAGCCCAGCTCCTGGGGGTCTGTACTCTAACATTGATGCCGGGATTGGAGGCTCTGTGTCCCCGGCCATCGAGCGCTGCATCTCCCACATCACCACCTACGGTGAGTCGTTCAGTCTGTTTGATAGGTGACAGTTGTGGCAACGGTTCTGCTTGTTACAGACTTTCAACCAGAACCAGAACCTGGTACTGTTCTCCCAAAGAAAAACACCAAGTCAGCAGCAGCTTCTTAGTCCAATAGCTTCAGTACCAAAAAAGATGTGAGAGAATCAGGACCGGTTCTGTAAGGCAGGCTGTTTCCATGGAAAGCTGAGTGGGTGGAACCTCTGTTTCTGCATGCAGGTCTGCGGGTGGAGGGTCTGTACCGGCGCTGCGGTCTCGCAACCAGGGTCAAAGAACTGTTGAAGGTACTGGTGACATCACCAAACACTGCCCCACTGGAGGCAGATGAGCAGGGGGTTCTGGACGTTGGCTCCGCCCTAAAACAGTACATCCGAGACCATCAGAACCTGATCCCTGATGGAGAACGGCAGCAGTGGCTGCAGGCTGCAGGTACCGACTGAACTTTTCATAAAATGATTAAAACAAAGAAACTTTTAATTGTTTTGGGTTTGGAGGGAGTGACCTCATACTGGTTAAGAATTTATTGCACTCAGTTCTGATCCGTTTAGCGGTGCTGGTACGATCACCAGTCGGAATCAAACCATCTCTGTTCCTGGACCGCAGGTGGGTCCGATTTTACAACAGTGACTGGACATAGGAGAAAATTAGGAGATTCAAACAGAGGGTGCTGTACAGGTGACATACTGGACTGGCAGCTGAGATGACCAGAACCAAAGATGAGAAAGAGAAGTTCAGATTAAACTGACTGGGAAGAGGAGGGTAGCCATGGAAATCACAATAGCAGCCAACCAAACCATGCCAGAGGGTAGCAGCCAAAGGTCAGGGGCCAGAGGTAAGGTGTGGACCCGTCCAATTAAAGACACGTCTTAGTAGACCAAATCCTCCATGTTCTTGATCGGTTCAGTTATAGTCCAGAGTCTGGCTGAGAATATGAGAATGGAGTGATGATGAGGTCATCATGGAGGAGAAACCAGTGGAACCAGAGGCGGTTAAGAAAGAACTTCAGTAAATCTGCAGAACAACAGAAGAACCAAAGACCAGTAGCTGTGGGCTTCCTAATAGACAGGCCCGTTTACCTGCACAGCCGCCATGTCTCATGTCATGTCCAAGATATAATAACTGAACATGCTTTAAGGGGGAAACTACTGCGCAGGTGGTGTCAGAAGGGCCTGACCCACCAAGCCAGTTGTGATGACCCATCTCCAGCCCAGCTAACACCTGCTCTCTTTGTCCTTCTGTCTCTCAGTGATTTCAGATGAACGCAGCAGGTTCAAGGAATACAGACGGTTACTACGACAACTCCCAGCAGACAACAAAGCCACCCTCAACGTGCTGTTTGGACACTTTTACATGTAACGTCCCACACAATAATGTCACATGTTCAGCCACCACCTCCACCTGTTAATTAGCTCCTCCCACTCTGTCTCAGGGTCCAGGTGTTCTCTCAGGTCAACAAGATGTCGGCCCATAACCTGGCTGTGGTTCTGGCACCTTCCATGTTCCATGCCATGAACCAGGACATTATCGACTTGACCAGAGAATTCATCATCCACCACACTCTCCTTTTCCTGGTGAGTAGCTGCTGATCACACACCTGGAACACGTTTTTTCTGAGACTCACACTCTTACTGAAGGAGGAGCAGTTGTTCTGTGGCCGTGGATAGAACCTGAATCTAGGAAGCTTGTTCAGAATATGGCTAAAGTTATTAAACTTAGCATCAGATAACTTTTTAAAAATTCATGAAAATCCACAACATACCTTTAACATGCAGGCTGTAAAACGGTGACCTTCATGGTTCTGATCGGTTCTGTTTGTCTGCAGACTCCAGAAAGGAAGGATGAGGAGAAAGAAAAGGAGGATGAAGAGGAGCAGATCACCGTCCTCTGATGAATTTATTTCTGTGTTTTTATTTTCTAATGATATTTTACTGATCATCAGACTTTTTTTAAACTTCATCATGATTTGTTTACAGCTTATATTCGTCCTCTTGGTGTTGGCTCTGATCTATTCTAGAAATAATCCAACAATAAAGGCCTTCCTGGTGAAACCAACAGCGCCTTCTGCTGGTCTTTACTGATGTAATAACCATGAGCCGTAGAACAGGGGATCCGTTCTGCTTCGCTCTAAAAAGGAACCACTGAGCGGTGAAAGACCAGGAAGGGTCCTGACTCTCTAACACCACTGGACTTCAGACATGAGTTCAACCTGCTTCAGGATCAGAACCAGTTCCAGGCTGCACAGCTTCATGAACCGAGTTCAGAACCGGACCAGACCCAGGCCTCCCTCTGTTGCAGGAGGCTGTTTACCGTCCAGAAATTATCGGCCAGTTTGTTTTTTCATGGGTCAAGTTTAAACAGCAGAATCAGAAGGAAGGCAGTGTGGTGTGGAGTTTCAGAATCAATCAGCCCATAAATCAATGAAAATGTAAACATCTAGAAGAATCACATGAACTGAAAGGGTTTTGATTTTAAAGAATACATTTTATTGTTTTAGCAGGTTTATTTCTGCTCCTGTCTGTCAGCTCAGGGTGATAAAACAAGTTGCATGCTCTTTAAAGCAGTTCTACCACAGACCAGGTTGGGTTCTTCAGCAGGACAAGTTTTTTAGGAGCTGAAGAATTTTATAAACAGACAAACAATCCTTCCTGTGGAGAAATCTGGGTCCTAATATTCTGACAGAGCCATTTTGATGAGGAAGTGTCTGAAGACGAACCAGAACCAATTTCTGCTGAGAGAAGGTTTCTACCAATCATTAGGGGTTTTCTGTCCCTTCACTGGATTTTATGATGGCAGCACATTCATTTTGAATTGATTAAAACATTGCAGTAATGATGTCCAGGTGAGGAAAAATCTGCTAGTTGAAACAGGTCCTGGAAGCAGCAACAAAACAAAAGCACAAAAAAAATAGTACTTTATTGATCCTAAAGGGAAATAAAACATTCTAGTAACTCTTTTAGAACTTCCTTCTTTTAGAACTTTCTTTATCCAGCACCTTCCTGATGCTGGATGCAGGAAGGATCTTCTGTAGAGGTGTGTCTACAGCAGGTTTGAAAAAGCTTCTTGATCTCTGAATCAGTCTGTTCTAAACCTGTTCCCAGCAGATGATCTTCACTAAAGACTGATAGAAGTCAGTCAACACTGAAGGACCTTCAGCCATCTGTGAAGGTCCAGTTTAAAAAGAGAACCTTTAACTTGATCTGCTACAGTGTCTGACAGCTAAACTGGACCACTGAGTCAGACTCTGGAGCAGAACCAGGCAGAGAGCTCTGTTCAAAGATTGAGAGTTCAAGTCAGAACCTTAAAGGGAAAAAGCTATAATAGACCTGGTTCAGTTTGACTCCTAGTAAGTAAACAGAACTTCTAGAACTCAAAGTGTCCTTGGCTTTATGGGGCAGATCAGAAGATAAAGACGTCTGAAGCGCAGCAGGTTCTATCTCCATCCACCATCAGATTGTGGGTTCATTTGGTCATAGCGTTATACTTTGGTCAAAAGTATAACACTGAGTTTCACAAAGCTCAGCCAATCAGAGCTGAGCGTTGGTGGGGTGCTGCAGAGCTCTGATTGGTCCTCACACATAGATGTTCTCAGCCAGTTCCGGGGGAGCCGTTGGATGACAGGGAACTGTGGAGGTCAAGGTCAGATGTTACCTTCAGGTTTAAACCAACCCAGCAGCTTTAAAGCTTTGATGACACAATAATAATTTAATGTAAATTAGCATTAAAATAGTAATCTAAGTAGTAGGACATACCAGGTGGTTCTGAGTTATTAGGAATCAATCAGGCTTTTTATTTACAAATAATAGCCTACATTCAGTAGCCCAACAGCAGCTAGTAAAAACCCATCTATATGTAGTGACGTCAGAAGGAGAACACCGCTGGAGCCACCTCAGCATGCTATAATGGAGATGGATGGAATCACTGACAATTGTTCCAGAACATCTAGTCTGGAATTGGTTTGTGTGCTTGAACCATCAGCCAGTTTAGGCACAGGAGAGGGTAGTGATGCTGAGGGAAATTAAGGCATCACAGCTTCCAGGTAAGATCCATCGAGAGTGGACCTCAAGCCTTCAGAGTCAGAGTGAGGGTGACGCTAATATGACGGCAGCAGCCCCGGTAGAAAACACAATAAACTTTATAACACCTATTAAAGAATGCAGCACCACATCATTACCACAAAGTTGACTGCGGTACTACCGACACTAATAACAATTAGCTTTGGGTCATCATCTGGAACAGCGACAATCTACGCTTTAAGCTCCAAATCAGCCTCCAGTTTGTTACTGCACATCTTTAACATTTCTCCTTCCTCAGCATCCTCTCTGATGGGATGTTTGAGCTGAAAGTGGAAGCAATGGATCACCATCAGCAGGTTTTTAATAACGTCCAGAGAGAATGCTAAGTAGGCTAAGTGCCCACCCTTCTTCTTTATGCGTGATCAGGACGCCCCCCTCGGCGTGGATGTGCTCAGGCCTGACTGGAATTTCCCCTGACTCTGATAGCTCCCACTCTGTCCAGATTGAGTGAGGACCACCACATGCTGATTTTAATAGCTCCACACTGGCCAGCAAGGCACTGGTTGAAGGAGATATATCAGCTCCAAAGAGGTCAGCTATGGCAACTCCTGATATGGGGGGAAATGGTGTCTCAGGCAGTGGGGACAGTGTTTCACCCACATCCAGAACAATTAAAGCTATGGGCCTGGCCTATAATGGAAGCTCAACAGAGCACCTTGTTGTGTTCTCTGATGTGTACAGTGTGTACATAAATCGACATAAGCTAACTTGTTGAGCTCCTTCTTTATTCGGCAGGTATTCAGAAT